AAAAAAATCACGTTAATTTACATTTCCACGCAAGGGCGTTTTAACTCGAAGTATTTTTTTCCAGGTCATCCATCCCGGAAAACTGGTTGTTGGTTTTGTTTACGGCTCGACCAAACTGTATAACTTCCTTCACGATAACCCTCTCATCGAGTTTGGTGACATCCAATGGGTGAACGATCCGGCTATCATTCGTCAAAATCCTAAAGTAACCGCAATCAACTCTGCCGTTGAAATTGACCTTACTGGACAAGGTGCGAAATGTATATTAATTTTTTCAATAAACCTATAAAATTTTGCGCTTACAGTCGTTTCCGACTCGGTAGGAAAGCGTTTCTTGTCCGGTTTTGGTGGTCAAGTAGACTTCATCCGTGGTGCTGCCCTTTCCGATGATGGTCTCGGCAAGCCGATCATTGCTCTTCCGTCGATGTCCAAGAAAGGTATCAGTAAAATCGTGCCATACATCAATGAGGTCTGTGACATTTTGCACTTTATTCACTTCTTTTAAATTTAAGCCCATAATTTCTAGGGTGCTGGCGTTGTAACAACGCGATCTCATGTACACTACGTTGTGACTGAATACGGTATCGCTCAACTCTGGGGAAAGAACATGCGACAACGAGCTTATGAACTGATCAAGATAGCTCATCCTTCCAAACGTGAAGAACTTGAGAAAGCCGCTTTTGAAAGGTTAAAGGTAAGAGATCCTTAAACAAAGTTGTCCTCTGATTTATCTTCAAACCAATATCTAATCATTGCATTTCAATGTTTGTTCTTCTGCGGTTGATCATCTGAGCATTTTCTTGAGAATTAATATTTTATCTTTTCATGTACTTCTTAGTTCCAAATCTTTTCGCTTCTCTCAAATTACTTTTAATAACATAGCCAGTTTCCTATCACGAGACATTTAAAATAGTTCTGATCTGTTGCTTTGCAACATTACAAGGATGACTAGGTAATTTGCGTATCTCAAGTTTTCTTTTCAGATCATGCCGTCCGCCGACTAATGAGAGACTTTCCCATTATCAATACGTGATTGATTCGATTGACATTCTTCTACTATTAAATTGTTGTAAGCAGAACTCCTGCTCCTGCCTTACTACGTATTTTAGTCCATGACCATTGTTAGACCACTCTTGTTCATTAATGAAGTGTAGTTTGTTAGCTGTCGGACATTGTTGGGTTAAGTTATTCGCAGATGCATTTCTTTGCGGTGACATTAGTTTTTCTCACCGGTACTCTTTGTTTTCGACGTGTTGTCAGGTCTTACCTAGGCGTAATATTGTTGTCCTTATTAAGTTAATTATAAAAATAAATAGCTTTATTGGGATTTGCTTTCGCGAGTAGAGGAAGCATTTGATGATGTAATCGGCGAACGAACATGTCTTCGTTATACTGAATGTAACCACCGATTTACGGCAAGATGGAGAACGCACACCTTTACGACCTTATCTAGCCTTATCTATGTCGCATTGTCCC